GCACTTTGATCGCTGATTTATTTTTCTTAGCTTTTTACTCCTATATTTACAAAAACGATAACAACTAACTCCAATCATTAATAGGGGAAATTGTAACTTTTTAGCACTTATTCTCCCTGAACTTCTTGTAGTTTGGCCCTTTCATCCCTAGAATTATTTTTGGCACTAAAACCCCCGAATTAGTCCTAAAATTTCCAAAAACTTAACCTCCATTAACGATTGGAGTTAATTGCTACTCTTTTGGAAACTTAGGGATTAAATATCTGCCGAAGAAAACTTAGAGGCGACGATATTAAACCACGAAAAGTTTAGAGGAGCACAAGTGCGAATAACCCTTCATACATATTTTATACCAGTGACCTAACTAAAAATACATATTTGGTGTTGCAGGAGCCAGTTCCTGTTTTCTCTCAGCTCACTAAGCAGAAATCCCTCACTGACAGACAACAGGTATATAGCTATAACATGAAATTATTGGCATATTTCAAGAAAAAAGAAAAATATAATTTTCCTTTGCTTTTCTGGGGACTAATTTGTAAGTTTTAAACAGGAAAACCATGATATGCTTGTGAAGTGTCTCACTGAAGATAAGCGGTTCAACAAGAACAGACCGGTTACTGCCTTCATTGTGTACAAATCATTGCTTCAATGGAGATCCTTTGAGGCAGAGAAGACAAACATATTCGATAGGATTATTCATACAATTCGATCATCGATAGAGGTAGTACAATAGAGATTTTAATCAGTATGATTAATTTTCTGCCTTTATGATCAACTGATTAATTTGAAATATGGTAATTTTTCTGCATACTTTGTCCTTAAAGAGTCATGAGAACATCAGTGATCTTGCATACTGGCTTTCAACCACTTCCACTCTTCTCTTCCTTCTTCAAAGTACACTCAAGGCGAGCAATAATCCTAATGGCTCCACGCATCGTAGCCGAACTTCTCCCGCCGCCTTATTCGGTAGAATGGCAAAAGTAAGACTAATCCTTTCCACTTGAAATTAAATTTTTAAGAGATAACGATGGTGCCCGACAACACAACTCACATAATGGTTAAGGGGGTTTGATATGAATGCGGGGTTGTTGCGTCGAGCACTGCTCATTTTGAAATCTTTGGTTTGAAAGAAAACAGTCAGCAAGATATTTTTGTCTCACTTCTTAACAATATATACAGCGTCAGGGTTTCCATTCATCTTCAATGGGCATCGGAATATCGAATGGCTACAGTGGAATGATTGGAAAGTCTAATGCAAAAGTGGAAGCCAAGTACCCTGCCTTGCTGTTTAAGCAACATCTAACCGCGTGCGTCGAGAAAATATACGGAATGATCCGCGACCGGTTAAAGAAAGAGATTAGCTCATTCCTGAATCTGTGCATTCAAGTAAGCATTTGTTTTTTAGAAAATTGTTAGGAGGCGCCACCAATCCTAAACACTACCATTAATAGAAAGTGGGTCCTGTATTATAGGACCCACCTTCTATTAGTAGATGCGTGGTGCATAACACTGCCGATGCCTTATAGCATTGTTCTTTTCCACAAATCTACGACCGAATGTTCTATTCTATATCCAATCATGCTTTATCTAAATTTGTATGACTATATTTGATTAGTGCCATGAACTGAATATACAGGCACCAAGATCTACAAGGGCAAGATCAATAAGAGGGTCATATAGAAATATCCATTCAAATATGGTGGCAAAACAGCAAGCATCAAACATTCACTGGCAAAGCATTGTCAATAAGCTAGATCATACATTGGGAATTTTATCTGAGAACCATGTAAGCAAATTAACCTCTACAAACTTTTGTTATATCTTTTTGCTGTATTTTTTTTTTTTTTT